GGGAAACGGAGGGTTTATGCTCTTGCCTAACAGAAGTAAAAGGCTATCAGGGCCTGCTCCTTGGGTACCATTATGAATAGTTGAATTCTAAAGCTGAGTATGGAACTCACACAGTATAAAACTTGTTACTTCTGTTTTTTCTGGAAGCTTCTTATTTGCTATTTTTAGTAGGTTTTTGCCTCTCCCCTGACCTTGCTACCTCTGGGGGGTTTCCTAAAAGATTCTAAAGCTGAATGCCCAGAAACTTTGTGTTTTTCCATTACCTTGATTCTTTCTTTCCTCTACAACACTCTGCCTGAAGTTTTTAGAACATATATTCTATTTTACATCATCAGTATGACCCTCAAATGCCCAGTGGCACAAGACGATTTGGGGCAGAGATTGTGTGGTCAGGTCACATTTAGGACTGGAAATGTTCATTTAGTATTTTACCACAGGTGCACCCTCTCCCAAACAGCCAAACTGCAAAACTTCTACCAATCATTGATTAACATCACACCAAGCGTCTTTCCTACTGACACTCAACCTCTCTCCTACCCTCGATTATCATAACACCAAATCTCTGTCCCACCCAGGCACATGGCACAATGTTTGCTGCCTTCTGCACCTACTCTGCCAATTTTTGAGAACAGAGGCTGAAAGCCCCCTCTCATGAAGGCTTTCAGAGGAGCTACTACTTGTAGTAGTACTGGTACCAATAATAATGATCATAACTTTTCAATTTGGAACATAGGAGAGGTTTGAATGAAATGAGGTTGGCTCCAAGAAGTCAGCTTTCAAGTCATTCCTATCCTCCTTTTTCCCTCCGATTCCAACCAATAGCAGCAAATGGCTCTGCTGGACTGACTTTCATCTAGTCGGGAGTGGAGAGAGCCATCCCCGAAGGAAGAGGTTCATACGTAACTAAGCGCTCTGTTAACATGGTGCATATTCAGTACATGTGTGGTTCAAATGTCGACAGTAGAGAGCAAGTTAAGTTTCAGTATAACAAAAGATTTGCAGGTGTCTCCTTTGCCTGCACTACATGGCCTGCCTCAATTTCCTGCTTGGGCTTCCCGCTTGGCCCCAACTTGTCCCTGAGCCTCAACTCCCACAAACTGTATCCCTAGCTAACAGCTCACCTGTACAGGAGGCAAGACAACAGACAGCATAACAGTTATGCATTAGCTTCATGACCACGAGCTGGCCGATCTGGAGAAATTACCTTGAATGTGCAAAGACAGGAGATTCTACAAGGCTCTTACAACAAGCATTTCACCTGACGTCCATTTCAACTATCTAGATAATCTAGACCCAGTTGCGATCTTGCTGTATCTATGGGTCTGAGCAGATCTGCCCATGCATCTGCCCTCTTCTGCATACATGAACTTGTCAAGAAAAAGACAAGTTCGTGGTCAGTGCTGTTTCTCAGTAGCTCAGCCTTCCTTTATCGCTAAGTCTGTGACCCACTGGCGAACTTTCACTTTAATATGATTTGCCAGGGCCAGGACTAGGGTGAGGTGAATGAGGCGCCAAGGGCGCAGAATTTAGGGAGGTGCCCACACCCAGGGCCGTGCAAGTGCCTTACTCTCGTCCCGGCCCTGTGATTTGCACTCTGTAAAATAAGATCAATTATCTCCCTCCTATGAAAAAGTATGGTTCTTCTAATTTGGGGTGTAACTCCCTATCTGTTATTGCACCAAATGTTTGATTGCTATCTATTTTTCCATTCCTATAAGCCTCTGTATGCCTACACATTAAAGAGTCTTCAGTATTATCAGAAAATAATTGGTTTCTAAGCAAACCTGCTCCAAATGGCGAGTTAGCACCCGTTTCAGTAGGAATGCTCATGGGGATAGCCCTTCAGCAAAATAGTGACCGAGTTGGAGGTCTGCCACTGCGATGCTCTATTCTCCCCAAACCTCACCTCCCAACACCAACTCTCTTCAGTGCCTCCTCTGTTGTTCTCCACCTCTCTTAAAAAAAAAAAAAATGCTCTCAGGAAAGGGATAAATTCATTTACTTTGAGATTATAAGGCTTAATGCTACCTCCTCTGAGGCTTGCTTGCATTTTAACAGGGGAAAAGCCTTAAGCCAAAGGAATGAAGTTCTGCTTGGCAGAATGTTAGGCATCAGCTAGTTGTAGAAGTATGCTTTTCACAATAGAAAGGTCAAATCTCCTGATGGCTAACTCCAGAATATAGAATATTCCTTATTCTCCTGGAATTGTTTTCATCAGTTTGTGGTCAATTAAATCGTCCTGATACCTAGTGCTATTCAATATGGTTACTACCAAGGGACTCTCAGAAATGGCTGCCAAAAGCTACTGAGAAGGCCTCGATCCTTCATACCGTACACTAAAATTTTTGCATAAAAGGAATTAATGCTACTTACCATTTGAGTTTAAAAAAAAAAAATCAGAAGGATTTAAAGAGTTTGTGAAAATGTGCCCTGTTTGTGAAAGGTGAACCTGTCCAACCTATGTCCAGTCAATGTCAGTCGTCTGGTATTGGTGGTGATTATTTAACTTAAGGAGGCACAACTTTACTAAACACAAGCCTCTGTCCACCCACCCCCAGTCTCTGTTACGTGCTATCCCTTCAGTTTGGTGTGAGAATGAGACCATATCTATACCAGAGCACCCAGTTCCTTCAAAGCCTTTGCATGTATTTCAGCTCCAAATGACAAAGATATTAGGGATTTGAAAGGACAAGAGAATGGAAAAGGGGTACAAAGAAGTGCCTTTGTCAAAGGGCAGCAAAAAGTATAATTATTTAAATACTGCTATGAAATAAGCAACGTTTTAGAATACTAGAAATAGATTTATAGAGGAATACAATAGTAAATGGTTAAAGATACATGGGGGCACTTTTAATAAGCTTAGCAAAAAGAAATGTGCATGAATAACAGGTTATGTGAAATAAACATATACTTTTTCAGTAAGGCCAAAAATTTAGGCCAGACATCCTCAAAGTATGGTCCCAAGACCAGCAACAGCAGCATCACTGGAGTATGTGTGTGTGTGTACGTGTGTATGTGTGTGTGTTTGTGGGTGTGTATTCCAGTGATGCCACTCCTTCAAGCCCCTGATTCGCTATAGCCACAACTCTGATTCTAACATTTTCCAGTGTTTCAGCTGTCATTACAGTGACCAGTCTCTGGTGAAGAGACTGACATCTTGGTCAGGCATATGTTTGTTTAGTGTTAAAAAATTACAAGATTGAATCAACTGCTTTGCTCAACCTGCAAAACCTTTGATTTGACTTAATCAGCACATCTGGCCTGCTTTGGGTTAAAAAAAATTTTGTTATCTCAAAAATAGAAAAAAGAGAAAGGTATTAGGTTGGTTTGATATTGCCAACCCTTAAATACCATTCTTCACCATGGTGGTTGTTCACTAGGAGGGCTCTGGCAGAAATACATGTGATTTTAAAATTTTGTCTAAACAGGGGAATTTGATAGCAACAAACTCAAAAGCAAAATCTGAATGGGAATAACCAGTTAACCCCTCTCAGCCTCTTTGTAATGGCAAGCTTTATAGAAATTTGTTCCTTATGTGGTCTTGAGCTTTTTTTTAATGTCCAGTTTTATAAAATGTTATGCATGCAAACGCAGCATTGTGCTCATTGTACAAGTCACCTCGAACTCATTCCTTCCTCCATATGTATGATGGTGAAGAAATATCAATATGTATGTTCTAAAATCTCCTGGTCAATTGTAAATTACAAACCTTTTCATTAATTTTTAAATGATATATATTTACCCTGGCTAGTAGTTAAAATTTTATTCTTTTTATTATATTTCATTGCTACCTTTTTCTACTGACACCAAAACTTACTTTGGGGAATATTTCTTATTTCTAGATTGTTGTATTTATCTTATTTCTATGTTTATCTGTAATCACAGAATGTTAGAGCTGAAAGGGACCAACCTCTCTCATTTCAGAGATGAGGAAATTGAGGCCCAGGACGGTCAAATAACTTGCATAAGGTCATACAGTGTGTTTGTGTGAGGACCTGGTCTCAAAACAGGTCTTCTGCCTCTGGGCCTAGTATTCATTTAAAGCACTACATATATGGAAAGCCTAAAGCTGGCTTCTACTTTTGTGATACATGAATTTCCCAGGTATTTCAGTGAACTAATATATATGCTTTAAGGAAAAATGCTCAAGAGTTCTTTAATTCATAAATCCAAAGACAAATCTGATTTTTTAGTTTAGAAACATTTTCCTCCAAATTCAGTCTATGTGCCCTACTTTGTATAATGGATGCTTTTCCTAAAAGTTGTGTGAAAAAAATGGAGTTTTATACATCAAATTCCAGTTTTTAGTAGGGAAGCTTCGTATATAAAAGAATCTTCTAGTTACTTTTTTGGTTTTTTTTGTTTGTTTGTTTGTTTTTTTTTGGAATCACCAAGACTCCTCTTGTCACGTGCCACCACCAGACAGAATGGCAAGCTTTATAGAAATTTGTTCCTTATGTGGTCTTGAGCTTTTTTTTAATGTCCAGTTTTATAAAATGTTATGCATGCAAACGCAGCATTGTGCTCATTGTACAAGTCACCTCGAACTCATTCCTTCCTCCATATGTATGATGGTGAAGAAATATCAATATGTATGTTCTAAAATCTCCTGGTCAATTGTAAATTACAAACCTTTTCATTAATTTTTAAATGATATATATTTACCCTGGCTAGTAGTTAAAATTTTATTCTTTTTATTATATTTCATTGCTACCTTTTTCTACTGACTCCAAAACTTACTTTGGGGAATATTTCTTATTTCTAGATTGTTGTATTTATCTTATTTCTATATTTATCTGTAATCACAGAATGTTAGAGCTGAAAGGGACCAACCTCTCTCATTTCAGAGATGAGGAAATTGAGGCCCAGGACGGTCAAATAACTTGCATAAGGTCATACAGTGTGTTTGTGGCAGGACCTGGTCTCAAAACAGGTCTTCTGCCTCTGGGCCTAGTATTCATTT